TTTACTATCTTCTAACTTTTTTTTTTTTTGAGCCTGTTGCTGAGGCTGGAGTGCAGTGGCTCGATCACAGCTCATTGTAATCTCAAACTCTTGGGTTCAAGCAATCTTCCTGCCTCAGCTTCCTCAGTAGCTGGGACTACAATTGTGCATCACCATGACTGATTAATTCTTGTATTTTTTGTAGAGATGGGGTCTTGCTATGTTGCCAAGACTAGTCTCAAACTCCTGACCTGAAAATGATCCTCCCACGTTGGCCTCCCAAAGTGCTGGGATTACTGGTGTGAACCACTGCACCTGGGTCTTTTTTTTTTATTATTATATTTCTATTTTGGCAATCATAAGTTCTATTTTCAAGAGCTTTAGCTTATTCTCTGTTCATTTTTACAACATTTAGCTTATTCTCTGTTCATTTTTACAACATCTTGTTTTTGTTTATGCATGTAATATTTTCTCCAAGTTCCCTGGGAATGTCCTATTTTTTTCCTTAAATTTCTTCTGTTCTCTGAATTATTTCTGTTTCATCTGGGATAAATTTCTTTGCTGCCCTCCTAATTTCCTCAATTATCTAGTATTTGGTTCCCCATTTAATTTCAACATAGGGACAATAAAAAAGCTGACTAGAAGTTTGGTGTCTGTGGGTGAATCTTGTTCACTGGTACATTGAATTTAGGATGAGCAGATGGAGTCTTCCCTACTCTCAACCTCAAAGCCAAAATGTGGATATTTTATAAAAAGGTGCAGAACCCACTTTAAATGTCCCGTTCTCTCCCAAAATATTTTAAAATTTATTTAACAAAGAATTATTTGATATTTTGCCTGGAAGTGAATGTCTGGCTCTCTGTCATTTTTCTTGGAGAAATGAGATGGAGTCAATTATATTATACATATATACAGTGAATCTCCTGATTTCATTTTTTACTTTGCCTTCATTAAAACTTCCAACTGGGATTTCAAAGCCTCTTTGGAGTCGGGCAATTGAACTCCCATTTTCATTTTCAGTCTCTTTACACATCCTAGGCTGAGGGTGATATGTTCCATTGATTGGCTGTATTTGGTCTTCCAGAAATTTATTGCAATCCTTTGTCCATTGCCAACTCCTCCTACTCTGTTTTATCCTTCGTCATTACTTAAATGGAATCTTTGACCGGAGGGAAGACAAATTTATTAATATCTGCTCAGACCACTTTCTTAAACTGGAGTTTGTTGACTTTAAAATTAGAAAAAGTAGCACTAAAAGTAATTTGCAAAATACAAACAAATCTTGTGAACTTCTACACATACATAGTATTTTGGCTTTGGCATACAGGTGGTTTTATTCCTTAAAATATGGCAGTCTTTTCCTCAAGTAAGTGCCCCAAACAGGCAATGTCACATTAAATTTTTCCTGGCTTTCCTTTCCCATGCGATGGTACATCAGTAGAGGATGGCAGGGTCCTGGGTGAATCAAAAGGTGGAATGGATAATAAGTATAATGCAGTGAAATAAGAAATTATTTTCTTTAGCTACATGGTTCTCAAATAGAGGCTATTTTTCCTCTGAGGGGACGTTTGGCAATACCAAGATATTTTTGGTTGCCACAATCGAGGATGTTCTACTGGCATCTAGTGGGTAGAGGAGGCCAGGAACAAGTTCTAAGCATACTGTAATACATAAGACCACTCCCAGTGGTCTATCCAGTCAAAATGCCAATAGTGCTGAGGTTAATAACACTTTTGCTTGTACAGCAGAGTAAATACACAACAATACTGGACTGTATACTTAACAATGGTTAAGATGGTAAATGTTTTGTTAATGTGTATTTTACCACAATTATTAATAAATAAAGAACATGGGCCCTTATTTGCTAGGAAAAATTTGTATTTACCACTCAGTCTTAAGCTATTTTGATTGGAATACGAAAATTCTACTTCTACGCTCAGTTAGATCTTAGCTTCATTGTTAACACTGAAGTATGTGGTGAAATACAGAGCAGCCCGTATGTGCAGATACCACAGGAGAGCCAGCCAAGCTACTGTGCAAGGGATTTGCAAACAACAGACGTAAACTGACTCTGCTAACGCAAGCAATAGACAAAATTGGCTGGGCGCAGTGGCTCACGCCTGTAATCCTAGCACTCTGGGAGGCCGAGGCAGGAGGATCACTTGAGCTCAGGAATTTGAGACCAGCTTGAGCAACAGGTAGACCTGTCTGCACTAAAAACAGAAAAAATTATCTGGGTGTGATGGCGTGCACCTGTAGTCCCAGCTACTCAGGAGGCTGAGGCAGGAGGATCACTTGAGTCCAGGAGTTGGAGGTTGCTGTGAGCTATGATGACGCCACTGCACTCTAGTAGGGCAATAGAGCAAGACTCTGTCTCAAAAAAAAAAAAAAAAAAAAAAGGCAAAATTTATTGGAAGGCTATGCTGTCAAGTTGCAAAATTTGGAAGAGAAGTCCTGCCACGATGAATCCACCTGCAGTGTTTTGTTTTTTTTGTTTGAGACAGAGTCTCACGTTTGTTGCCTGGGCTAGAGTGCCATGGCATCAGCCTAGCTTACAGCAACCTCAATCTCCTGGGCTCAAGCAATCCTCCTGACTCAGCCTCCCGAGTAGCTGGGACTACAGGCATGTGACACCATGCCCGGCTAATTTTGTGTATATATATATATATATATATATATATATATATATATGTTTAGTTGGGCAATTAATTTATTTCTATTTATAGTAGAGACGGGGTCTCGCTCTTGCTCAGGCTGGTTTTGAACTCCTGACCTTGAGCAATCCACCCGCCTCTGCCTCCCAGACTGCTAGGATTACAGGCGTGAGCCACCGCGCCTGGCCTGGAGTGTTTTCTTGAGAGAATGTCTGATAGGCCAAGCTTGGGACCTGCACTCTCCTCTCAGTGCAGACCGTGTGTGGCACCCTAAGTAATGTCCCATGAAGATTGTACACAGAGAGGCAGTTCCCTGCTTCCAAAACTAGGGCGAAGGGACGCTGGGCAGGTAAGAACAACAGAAATCTACTTCAGCTGCAAGATAGATACTGCCTCCTGCTGCCCGAATCAAAATACACACAGATAAGCAAACAAACCAACCAAATATGCTTAACTCACAACTACATTTGCTTCTCTGAACTTTATGGAAATCATTTAACCTCTCTTGGTCTGTTTTGTCATCTACAAAATGAGGAACTTGAATTAATGACTTCTAACTTCCTTTTCATTCTAACATGATAGACATGTTCCCTTGTGTTTTAAAAAAGTATTTGAACTCCTGTTCTCATATACTTTGTATTTTGCCTGGATTGTGGATTTTCCTTTCATTTCATCTATCCTAGGAATGGCTTCCTAATGGCTCTGGTGTTAGTTCTGAGTTTTAGGATATTGATATATTTTGAGTGAAAAAAGTCTTTGTGTGAAATTTTTAAAAAGCATCTTTTAAAAATGTGTGTGTGGGGGGGCATAACTTGTGTCAGTAAGAAAGTAAATTTCAGGTCGGGCACCCGGTGGCTCACACCTGTAATCCTAGCACTCTGGGAGGCTGAGGCAGGAGGATTGCTCAAGTTCAGGAGTTTGAAACCAGCCTGAGAAAGAGCAAGATCCCGTCTCTACTAAAAATAGAAAGAAAAATTAATTGGCCAACTAAAATATATAGAAAAAATATCAGCCGGGCATGGTGGTACATGCCTGTAGTCCCAGCTACTTGGGAGGCTGAGGCAGGAGGATTGCTTGAGGCCAGGAGTTTGAGGTTGCTGCAGCTAGGCTGATGCCACGGCACTCTAGCCCGGGCAACAGAGTGAGACTCTGTCTCAAATAATAATAATAATAATAAAGAAAGTAAGTGTCAATTGTTCATTTCTCTCTTGTATAGAGAAAACCATGCATTAGTGTGGGGAGTGCAGGAGGAGGACAAAAGGGAAGGCTGAAGTGGCAGCTGTGTGTCCTGCTAAAGGTTAAGTCCCACGTGGGGACTGCTTCATTCAGAGAACGCATTAGTGAGTCTCTGTGAGGAAAAGGAGGGCTCCGGTTGCAGGACATCAGGGAAACGAGTTTCTGGGGATGTCATAAGACGTGGAGGACTGGGGAGAGAGGTGGCAGGAGGCTGCTGCCTGCAGAAGTACGTGGCCGGTGAGAAATTGGGGATGGGGATAATACCCAATTTTAGTTTTTTCAATCACATTGCTCTTGTACAGTGTAAAATCTCATTTTTTTTTGTTGTTATTGTTTGTTTGTTTTTTTCTTTCTTTTTTTTTGAGACAGAGTCTCACTTTGTTGCCCAGGCTAGAGTGCTGTGGCGTCAGCCTACCCGCAGCAACCTCAAACTCCTGGGTTCAATCGATCCTCCTGCCTCAGCCTCCCGAGTAGCTGGGACTACAGGCATGTGCCACCATGCCCGGCCGATTTTTAAAATCTCATTGTTGATGCAAATCTTCAGCAACATCTACACTCACACAAAAGCCTTGCAGGATTGGTTTGGAGAAAGTTAAAGAGAAAAGGGCGAGACCAGTGTCTGGCTGGTGCGGAGGGAAAGGAGCTTGGAGAGCAGCTGGGGCAGGAGAGATGCAGGCGGATCGGGAGGTGTGTTTGGGTGGTGAGAACACGGAGCTGCAGGTAACTGTGAGACTGTGTGAGTCCTTGGGAATTCACAGACATTTTGTGGGGATAATTGGACTTCCCAGAAGACTCAGAGTGAGAGCTTGGGCTGAAAGGATCAGAGGATGGTTGTGTCACTTTGGGCTCCACTAATGAGCAAAGAAGTGGAGCTCTCCGCTTCCTCATTTGGGGATAGGATGAAGTGCTGCTGAACCCCCCAAGATAATATGCTGGAAATTTTTTTGTTGTTGTTTTAGTCTTTGATTTCATCTTACAGTATGTCTTCTCTTGCCATAGAAACAGTGCTGCCAACACAAATGATTTCACTTTGGAATAAAAATTTTATTTATTTGCATATATAACATGTGTTGACATCTAGGAACTGCAAACTGCGTAAGGAGAGTCATAGATGAGTAAGACACAGTCATGCCATAAAGGAGTTTGTCCTCAGAGGGAAAGATCCATGCAAAACCCAACCGCAAGACAAGAAAGGATGAAGTAAGTGCTAAAGGGAGTACAGGAATAGTGTTTATCAATTCTGGTTGGGGAACAATGATACAGAATTCAATGAATAAATGGATGTTCTCCTGGAAGTTTCTAGTTCTTTCTTCAATGATTTCTCTTTCCTGTTAAGCAAAAAATAAGAACATTCTGATATAGTATAAAATGCTTTTTAAAAAAATCTTAAGACTATACAAAGGAAATGTCATGGTCTGTACAATCTGTCATTAGCTCAGCCCAGTTTTCTATATCTAGGACAAAGATTCTGAAGAACAACCTCCAAAGGTTGAGAAGGCAGTAGGGGCCTAGGGGGTCAGATTTCTTTGTGTCTTGTTTCTACCAGTTTACTAGCTGTGTGACCTTGGTATGGTATTGTTATACTTAACCTCTCTTAGCATTAGTTTACCAATCTGCAAAGTGTGGATAATAACGTCTCATTGGATTGTTGGATTAAATGAGTTAATTCATGTGAAGTGCTTCGGTACACGGCAAGTACTCAATGCATTTTGGCTATTATTTTTATTATTCTGTAAAAAGCATTAGTACTCTTGTATGTATGAGCTTAATCACATTCTTCTCAATCTACATTTTCTGCTCATATTACTTTTTGGATTAATGGCTTCCCTATATTTACAGCCTCCATAAGAAAATCCTACTTTCACTTGTCCAGAAGTTTCTTCTTTCCAACTTTGACTGGTGGTGCCTTTTCTTTTTTGGCTAATTCTTAACGATTTAATGCACCAGTCTATTTTCTTCCTGTGAATGGAGAACCTGTGGCCTTCTGATTTCAAGATTTTTCTTTTCTAAGCACCAAAGGAGGCAAGAAAAACTTCATCTTTCTCTGCTGTACCCATTTTAATAAAAGGATTTGTTCTAAAAAATTTGGATTTAGTTGAAAGGCTGCACTCAGGATCCAGAAGGCCACATGTGGCCCTAAGGCTGCAGGTTCCCCACCCCTGCAAGGTGCGTTGAGAGAGTAGCATTTTCTGTTTTGTTGGTAATAACTTTACCAACGATAGTCAGTATTTTGTAAGTCTTTTGGACAGTAGCAGTTTTTTCAGTTGGATTTTTAGGGGACAGTTACATAGCATTTTCCAAAGTGTGTTCTCTGAAGTGCTATTTTATGGGTCTCAATGGGCATTCTATAAAAAGGATTATAATTTAGGAAACACTGGATTAAACAATGTTTCTTTAGTACTCTTTATCATCCCATGCAACCAAAATATAGTATGTAGTGTTTCTTGAACTTATTTTTTCCATAGCATCCTTTTTTGGGAATCATCTTGTAGAACTAGAGTTCTGGGAACACAGATTGGGAAATGATGATTTATGTAATAGTAAGATCTAGGTTCAACTGATATCTTAAATCCATTATCCTATAGGAATAATTTTCCTCTAAGAACAGTATTCTATTATGTGGAAGCACTTTCACTGCTCATTTGATCATTCAAATACTCTTCTGTGATCTTTTATCAATGTATTCTTATTATCTTGATATTTTGTCAGATAGGCTTAACACATTAAGGCTTAACTGCCACACTCAAAAAAAATTTTTTCCCTAGGGTCAAGGTGTTTTATCACAAAAACAGAATAAAAACTTAGAAAACAAAATGATCCATTCTAATTTAATTTTAAAAAGTTGCTACTTTTTATTGTTTTCTGTGTGTGAGTTATATGCAACCTGAAAAATAGTTCGTAAGGGTAAAGGTAAAAAGAGGTTTGAGTTACATATGCTTCATGAAACCCCAGGCTTAAAACTAGCATGAGTTAAATATAGCTCACATGGCAGTTAATGTGTTCATTATATCTGCCGACTTAAAGATGTCATTCTGTATTTTCTTATTCAGAATATTTTTATTATAAAAGATTACTAGGTAGGGATATGTCATAGAAAGAGTATCAAATCACACAGTCCTGACTTGGAATCATTGTTCAAGCACTTGACAGCTACATGACCCTGAGCAGTTCACTCAGACTCTTTGAACCTTACTTTTTTTAATCTTTATCCAGAGACACAGCTTTTTATCCTTGTCCTTTGATTTTTTTTCTCAAATACTATTTCCGACTGACTTGATCCAGGCAGATACAATTCAGTGTGTTTTTTAAAACTGAATTTGGAACTTGATTAAATCAAAGCAGTGTAGATTGGGACATGGGATATTCATAACCTTCGTGACCAGCAACTATAAGCAGCTGCTCTCCGTAGATAACCATTTTCCCTACACATATATGCAAACAGGAAAAATTGGGTCTCTCTCAATCACCAAGGGCTGAATCCTTGGGAGTGGGCAGCTATGGCGGAAGGTGTTTTCTTTCTTCTGCCCATTACTACAGGGGGAAACTAGTGTGAAGTATTTGAACTAAGGAAGAGCAATAAGTAACAGCTTGAAGAAAGCCTTAATAGCTTCATTTTCATAATTTCATTATGTGATAATATATTACTGAAACTTAAAATCAACACCTTCATAGTATAAAATAGTCTGGTTGCATTTTGAATATCTAATGTCTCAAATTTCTCCCCTCAATAGGTTTTTTGATATAAATTCCAGTATGGTTTTCCAGGTAAGTAGCCATTTCCCAGCTTTTATCATCCAAGCCTACTCTCAAAAGAAAATGTGAAAGAATCCCCCCAATTGAAAATCATAAGTATTACCATATAGTTTCTGAATGCCTTCAATGTCATCACGTGAAAGTTTAAAATTTTGGAGATCTCCACTTCCATAGACTGGATACATCACGGCATTAGGGTCAGTGGAATGGCCCATACCCAAAGAATGGCCAAGTTCATGAGTTGCAGCATATAGAAAGTTAATTCCTACAAGGGAAGAAGTGACATACAATAGCTATAAAAATAACACAATATTATATGTAACATAATACATAATATCATAATAAAAAATAAAGTAACTATAAAAATACCCAACTCCTAGTTCTCTGTAGTTTACTTATTTGTTTCCAGGCTTTCAAAAATGGGGAGGGGTTTCCCATCCAATTACTAACTGATGAGCACACATGTGCACAGTGGGATGTAAAACTTAGTGGAAATCAAGCAGGGGGGAGAGGGGGAGAAAGGAGGGGAGGGGCAAGCACCTAACAGGCACAATGAACACGATTTGGGTGATGGGCACACTTATAGCCATGACTCAAGCATTACAAAAGCGATCCATCCAACCAAAAACATTTGTACCCTCTTTATACTGTGAAATTTTTTTTTTTGAGACAGAGTCTCACTTTGTTGCCCAGGCTAGAGTGAGTGCTGTGGCATCAGTCTAGCTCACAGCAACCTCAATCTCCTGGGCTCAAGCGATCCTACTGCCTCAGCCTCCCAAGTAGCTGGGACTATAGGCATGTGCCACCATGCCTGGCTAATTTTTTGTATATATATTTTTAGTTGGTCAATTAATTTCTTTCTATTTTTAGTAGAGACGAGGGTCTCGCTCTTGCTCAGGCTGGTTTCGAACTCCTGACAACAACTCCTTGAGCAATCCGCCCGCCTCGGCCTCCCAGAGTGCCAGGATTACAGGTGTGAGCCACCGCGCCTGGCCCATTATCTCATTTAATTTAAACAACACCATTTAAGGTGGGAACTATTTATATTCCCATTTCACGGATGAGATAACTGAGGCACAGATAAGTTAAATAATTTGCCCAAGGACACACAGGGAGTAATTGGTGGAGGTACAGCAAATTGAACCCAATGCTGCCTGATTGTGTAGCCTGAGCGTCCATCTTTTGTACCTGTATGTAGCATTATGAATATTAATGAGATAATGCATTTAAAGCATATAGTACAATGGTTGGCACCTAGCAAGAGCTCAATACTTATTATAATTTAATGTAATTATTAAAGTTATTATAAGTTCAGGATTGTTAAAAGGATGTGGAGCAGAAGAGACACAGGATGCTATACCTATACTGCTGCCATCAGTCCAGCGTTCATCCTCATCAAAGTGAGCGTCTCCTCCGAGGCCTGGCCCAGGTGCAAAGGCATGAGCCAGCGTGTTTCCTGGACCATCAAATGGGTAGGGGTCCCCGTGAGCTAAAAGAAAATGGGGGTGATTATTCTTAGTGACTAATTTTGTTCTCCAGACATTTTATCTTTTCAGTTTATATGAGTATTCAGGCCAGAAGGAGCAGCCCCGATGAAGAGGTTGGGACTGTTACTGCAAGTGCACGCACAAGGTGGTTTGCATGCCTATTAGGCACAGGCACTTTTTCCTTTCACAGAGCCACTGCCCATCCCTGGTAACCACCATACATTGAAGGCTTACTAACCAGACAAGCAACTTTAAATGCATTTACATCTAACTTCTGTTTGCATTGAAGCTTTTGTTAAATTTGACCACTTTGCTTGGCCAAATGGTAGTGGGAGGCAGAATGAATGTGAGTACTGCATTGAGCAGGTAATTTGTGTACTATTTCATATATATATTTTTTTCTTTAGAAATCTAGCTTATTCTTTGTGGGCATAGTGAACGATCCCTTGGAGAACCATGCTCAAGGACTCTTAAAATGGCTTTTGATAGTTCTTTTATTTGTGATGCAGTGCTATTTATCTTCAAGTTGATATCAGGTCATACTCAGTTTATCTAACTCTTAAAAAACTTGTAGTGCCATGATGAGTGCTTTCCAGAACATTTTTTTCAGTGTTGTCAACATTGCGGGTTGAAGTTCAAATTTGAGCTAAAATCACAGTACCCGAGCAGTTCAACATTAGAACAGACCAAAATGAGCAACATTTTTCTCCAAATTTGCCCCATGAAACACTAACAATTAAGAGTAGTTCATGTTCATGAGTTATATCTCTTTAAGTCCTTTAATAGGTAAGTGTCTATTTTCTACTTTCTTGCGACATGAAGGTTTATGACCTGTCGCTACTCCACTTGTTGGGGGCCACTTGAGACCTTTGGAAGCTGAAACCCCTTCTGTTGGTTTAATATTGATGCTAAATAGATCACTTTAAACATATAGTCATGTGCTGCATAACGACCTTTGTGTCAACAACAGGCCATGTTTATTTTTTTATTTTTTTGAGACAGAGTCTCACTCTGTTGCCCAGGCTAGAGTGCCATGGGATCAGCCTAGCTCACAGCAACCTCAAACTCCTGGGCTCAAGCAATCCTTCTGCCTCAGCCTCCCGAGTAGCTGGGACTACAGGCATGCGCCACCATGCCCGGCTAATTTTTTGTAAATATTTTTAGTTGGCCAATTAATTTCTTTCTATTTTTAATAGAGATGGAGTCTCGCTCTTGCTCAGGCTGGTTTCGAACTCCTGACCTTGAGCGATTCTCCTGCCTTGGCCTCCCAGAGTGCTAGGATTACAGACGTGAGCCACTGTGCCTGGCCAACAGGCCACATTTACAATGGTGGACACATAAGATTATAATGGAGCTGAAAAACTCCTACTGCCTAGTGATGTAGCTGTGGTAATGTCATAGCACAATTAATTACATTTTTGATGTTTAGATACACGGACACTTACCATTGTGTTAGAATTGCCTACGATACTCAGTACAGTAACATGCTGCACAGGTTTGTAGCCTTGGAACAATACGCTAGACCATATAGCCTAGGTGTGTATTAGGCTATGCTATTATCCAGATCTGTGTTAAGTACACACCATGTTGTTCACACAATGACAAAATTGCCTAACAAGGCATTTCTCAGAATGTATCCCTACCGTTAAGAGATGCATGACTACATACATATATATAATGGTTCATGCTACAAACTTTTGGCAAACTTTTTCTATAAAGGGTCAGGCAATAAGTCTTTAAGCTTTGTAAACTTGATGGCTTCTGTCACAATTGTAGACTGCCCCAAAGCAGTCATAGACAGGAGGTAAATGAAGAAGGCTGGCTGTATTCCAGTAAAATGTTATTTACAAAAATAGATGGTGGGCTGGATTTGGTTCATGGGTTGTGGTTTGCTAACTCCTGCTATAAAAAGTGATTCTAAATCAACAGATTATAAAAATTGTAATACCGTTGCTAAATATCTATTTATCTCTTATTCAGAGTTTCAAGTCCTGAAAAGAGGAGAGCACTGATATAAATAATAAACAAATAAAGCAGGACACAGGATTAGCCTACAGAAATCTTTCTTACCTCCTCTGGCAAAGCCAATCATGATATCAGCAATTCCCCACCGCAGTTTCTTGAAACGCAGTGGGATCTCTTTGCTCCACATGTTTAAAGCCTTTTCTACTAATCGATTCACTGCGAAAGATGATAAGTCTCGGGTATATGATACGATCCTAGTAGCAAACAAGAAAACAATATTTAACCTCTCAGGGAAAGGGCTTTATCGTTTTTTGCCAAAACGAGCCAAAGCAAAACTAACCTGTAGGTGACTATTTTGGAAGTCCATTTTGGGTTTTCTGGGAATAGTGAGTATTCTGCAATATCTGGTACTCCACATCTGGGTTTCTGCATTATTTCTATGATGCGGGGGCTTAGCACTCCAGTTATAGGCAGGCCAAAGAACTTTTCCATCTCCTTGAGTTTGGCTTCTAAACTGTTGGCAATTTTTGTTTGCGAGTCGTAGGAATAAAATCTTTTAAGATAGTCCTATTAAAAAGAGAGTAATTAATCTGTAGCTGTTGTTTGTTTATTGCCTTCTTTTATCTTAGAAGTCTACACTTCTTTTGCCTTTGGTTCCTGCGGATTCAAATAGGGATTTGAAGGCAGAATAATTGCATAGTCACTGCATAAAATAAGTGGGTGTTAGTGAGGAGAAAATTTAACACCAATAAAGAAGCATTGGCATGTGTTTCATCAGCAAAAGAGAAGAATCTCAATTTCCCTTTCGTCCCATTAAGTGTTCCGAGGAGAGGTACATTGTACACTTTATAAAGCCTAGACTTGTTTGTCACAGCAATTAGGAAGCGTGTCCCAGTGAGTCCTCCATGGGGACAACGGAGCCCTTCCCTCAGCAGGCCCTCGGTGGGGATCTGAAGCCAGCTAGGCCCGTCTAAGGTCTGGCTGAGATGTGGTTCCAGCTAACGGTTAAAAGGTCTCACGCCTGTAATCCTAGCACTCTGGGAGGCCGAGGTGGGAGAAATGCTCAAGGTCAGGAGTTCGAAACCAGCCTGAGCAAGAGCGAGACCCCATCTCTACTAAAAATAGAAAGAAATTAATTGGCCAACTAATATACATAAAAAATTAGCCGGGCATGGTGGCGCATGCCTGTAGTCCCAGCTACTCGGGAGGCTGAGGCAGGAGGATTGCTTGAGCCCAGGAGTTTGAGGTTGCTGTGAGCTAGGCTGACGCCACGGCACTCACTCTAGCCTGGGCAACAAAGTGAGACTCTGTCTCAAAAAAAACAAAACAAAACAAAAAAGTCTTAAAATTTTAATTCTAGGAAAGAATATTAGGAGATTATTAGTTTAATTAGTTTACCTTAATTGTTTAGGTGAAGAAACCCAAGCTCATAGAAACTAAATGATTTGCTAGGTTCACCCATTAAATTAGCAGCAGAAGTGGACCTGAATTTGCTGACTTCCATTCCCTCTTTCCACTCACTGTTAAATCCCTAGTAAAACCCACTCTGGGAAGTTGTAGGATAAAACAGATCTCCCAGATCTATTCCAAGCATAGTTGGGTCCCTGGGAATTTCTTAGAGATTCCCAGTGTCTGGATATGAGGATGTAAATCTAGCAACCTAAATACAAAAAAGTAAAAAGTGAATGAACGAACAATGGTAGCAACCTCATAAGAACAGTTTTTAAGCATTTACTAGTGCCAGGTACTTACCTACTTAGCTCATTTAAACCTTGTAACTACCCTGCGAAGTAGGGATGGCATTGTTATCCCTACTTTATATATGAAGAAAGGTGGCTCTGAAAAGTGAAATAAGTTGCCTAAGTTCACCCTGTGAGTGACTGAAGGAGCCAGTATTTGAATTCAAGTGTTCTGATTTCCATATTTCCATATTAGAAACACATATTGGGTTATATAATGCATGATAGTATTGTTGTTGAAATGACTTAAAGATTAACTCACTAATTTGCAGTCTACTTTGGAGTAGATGACAATACTTACTTGTCTCAGAACCTTTCAGGAGTATGCCCTTTACATAAGTAACCTTATTAATCTTGCACACTCTCTTCTTGTTACCAATGATTGTGTTTCATTAAATACAACAAATACTTATTGTTCATCCATGACAATTAGGAATTAATCCCTTATATAAAAACAAATAACCCATTTTATCCCTTCCAGAGCTGCGGATTTTACTAAGACACCCTCTGGAAGAAATCCTGCATTCTTGAGATGACTTTTCCTGCTTTCTGTTAAACCTAGCTAACTTCCCTCTAGTTTACTGCCAATCTGCATCCTAAGAGAAGGAACTAAATATTCATGCAAAGTACTCCTTCTGGATAATCCATTCGGTGGAACCATATAAAATTACTGTTTTGGAGGTAAAAAACAGTTTAATCCTAATAATTGTTGCATATGGTTCAATTTAACATATTACTGGAACTTTTTAAATGTTAAAGTGAAATAAAACTTGACTTTTCTTTTGCTTAGAGCCTAAATTTAAAATAATACTTATGAGTAATCACCCCATTATTTTACCAAATAATAATTCTTTATACTTATTAGACTGCTTATTAAGTAGTATATTGGAAATAACATGATTTTTGAGCTAGAAACACTTCTCCTTCATTCCTGTCTCCACCACTAACAAGAATATGAAACAATTTGACTTTAGTTCTTCTTTTTTCCAAGCTAGAGCTAAGGGTTAAATGACAATGTATATGGAAGTATTTTATAATCTTTAATTGTAATTAAAGATTATATAATTGTTCATATGTGTTAGTCGGTATTGTTATCACCTCAGTTATTTATTAGAATACCCTGGGAGGTATAAAACACATAGTATTATTATTTCCACTGGACACATGAGAAAACAGTCAAAAGTTAATGCCTTGTCATTGGCTTGTGGGAGAGTTGTAACTTCTACCAATGTTTTCTGACTTCAAATTTCTCCATTACAAGTAGTCCTCATCTTAAGAGGCAACATTCTGTGCACTTTATAAAAAGAATCTCAACTGACAATAAATAATAATAATAACTTCAATCTATTATGTATAAACAATGTTTTAGGTACTGTGTCTTTTCTTTTTTTTTGAGACAGAGTCTCGCTTTGTTTTCCGGCTAGAGTGCCGTGGCGTCAGCCTAGCTCACAGCAACCTCAAACTCCTGGGCTTAAGCGATCCTTCTGCCTCAGCCTCCCGAGTAGCTGGGACTACAGGCATGCACCACCATGCCTGGCTAATTTTTTCTATATATATTTTTATTTGTCCAGCTAATTTCTTTCTATTTTTAGTAGAGACAGGGTCTTGCTCTTGCTCAGGCTGGTCTCGAACTCCTGACCTCAATCCCGCCTCGGCCTCCCAGAGTGCTAGGATTACAGGCGTGAGCCACCACGCCCGGCCTAGGTACTGTGTTAAATGCTTTACAAAGCCCCCATTTGGTTGATACCATTATTATCTCCAACTTTCAAATTAGAAACCTGAAGCTCAGAGAAGTTCAATGACATTCTTAAGTTCATCTACCTGGTGAATGGAAGAATTAGAACTCGAACTCAGTTTGAACAGGCTGTAAAACATGCTCTTAATGGCTACTTGATGAAAACATATATTGTTTTTATAATCAGAAAAAGTACACCCCCCCAAAAAAAAATTCATTGTAATACTAACACGGTAGGAGAAATAATTAAAAAGCACATTTCCTAATGCTGATGGTGGGATCATGGAGCCTTAGGTAAGTGGACTGCGACATACCTGAGCCTGTTCCCACTGCGGCTTACTCATGCCTCCTGCCTCCCTGGGCAGCGGCAGGGCCAGGCTGCTGGGCAGCAGACACACGGCGGCGCACAGCAGGGTGAGTTGCATAGCTGCCCTCCAGAGATGAGTGTGTCCAGACCTACGATTGGTTTGGCGTTTTCTGCTAGAGGCTGGAGAAATTTATACAGTTCCTCAGCCCTAAATGTGGAAATAGGTGACTCATTGAGTGTTTTCTTTCTTTTCAGTGTCTACAGCACTTTGAAAGTGTATGTTATTTTTCATTAACGAAAACGAGGAAGTATTATGCCCTTATTGGCAGGAGGCACACAATGTATTTGTCTTTCAAAAGATTTTTTTTTCTGTCTGCTGTATAAATAGAATCCATGAGAAAACTTTTTTTTTTTTAATTTTTTAATTTTTTTTTTATTTTGGCATATTATGGGGGTACAGATTTTAAGGTTTCAATAAATGCCCATTCCCCCCCTCCCCCCAAAAGTCTGAGTCTCCATCATGACCATCCCCCAGATGGTGCACATCTCACTCATTATGTATGTATATACCCACCCCCCTCCCCCCTCCCACCTGCCCAATACCCTATTACTGTAGTACCTATGTGTCCACTTAGGTGCTACTCAGTTAATACCAGTTTTCTGGAGAATATATCTGGTGCTTGTTTTTCCATTCTTGGGATACTTCACTTGAGAAAACTTTTTTTATTTGCCAGAATCAAATTACTACTTACATAGATCTTCTCAATTAAAAAATTTGGGGGATCGTCATCAAATTGGTACTGACTGATTAAAACTATGGTGCTCAAATGGTGCTAATGTTCACCAGGGATTCAGGGGTTGGGGAGGAGATCCACATCTTTAGGGATGTGGCGAGCATTGTGAGGAGGAAGGGCATACCTTTAACCCTTCTTGGGGAGAGGCAAAGATATACAATGTAACCAAAATGTCGAAAAAAAACCCAAAAAACTTTTATTGGGTGGTGGGCAGGCGCGAGGGGGGAGGAGGGGAAGGGTGTGTACTTACATAATGGGTGAGGTGCGCACCACCTGGGGATTGGACACACTTGAAGCTCTGGCATGTGGGGGGGAGGGGTGGCAGAGGCAATATATGTAATCCTAACAATATTTGTACCCCCATAATATGATGAAATAAAAGGGAAAAAATTGGGGGGAGCGTTATTCAGGACATTTTTCTACCATGTATCTTAAAAAGATTTTTTTAAATGGAAAAGTATGGAAAAGTGCAGGAAACAGACAAATAATCAAGCAATTACCAAGCAAATACTGGAACAGTCACCAAAGTCAAGAAACAAAACATCACCAAAGTTGATGGTTCTTTATAGAGGGGAAAGATGGCAGGAGGCAGGTGGAAATGCTGTGCTCTGGCTCGGTTAGTGGCCATTAGACAGCTCTGCTCCATCTCCTCATCTTCCCCATCCCTTAGCAAGAGAGTGAGAATTCCTTTCTTTGGCTCTTCTTTTAATCCATTTATTTCCTTTCTTAATGGTCAACACTGCTCCTAATTCCTCTTGAATTACATGAAAAAATACCAAACAAACAAAAATCTTCAAGCATGAGCTTGACTGTTCATCTGTCCCACTGTCCTGCTTTCACATTCTATAGTAAAGCAATTCTCCAAAGCTAGACCTTCCACTTGGAAATCATTGTATCTAATCTCCTTCTTCCATTCACTCCAACTCCGGCTGCTACCCACTTACAGGTAGGGCTGTGTTGGCCCTCAATACACGTAATGCTTATTCTATGTATAGCAATAAGGACCCACTATCTACCGATTCTATTCCAACTACTTCATTTTTACCAAAAAGGAAACCGAGGCCAAGATTACAGAATAACTTACTTCCCTGAAGTCACAAAGTGAGTTAGTAGTCATCAGGACTACTAACTTTTTCTATCACAGTACATTCTTTTTTGATCACACTACATTCTCTATGTATTTTGTAACAGGTTTTTCTCCTTCATTATGTTGTACATTTCTTGGGAGAGCAGTGTGGCTTTTGAGCCTAATACATCATGGGAAACACCTCAAACATGCTGGAGCTGAAAAACTTAATTATTCAGATATCTCTTAAATTATCTGGTGCACCATGTTTCACCAAAGGTAACATTTTCAGATCAATTAATTAAATTTGCTCTCTTTGCAGAAATAACTTGATTTTGTGTGGCCACAATTTAACTATACTTGCGTACTTGGTACCCTTAGTCAATGTATGCATAGGATAGGTGCACAATAAATGTTTGTGGAATCAATGATTATTTATAGATTTTACTTGGATCAGCTGAAAATGAAGTTACATATGAGATTTTTAGTAATATTTGTACTGAAATTACAAGTAAAAGGCATTTCCTTAGGCGAATGAGAAGACAGCCCACAAACTGGGTGAAAATATATGCAAAGACACATCAGATAAAGGACTGTTATCCAAAATGTACAAAGAATTCTTGAAACTCAACAATAAGAACACAAACAACCTGATTAAAAAATGGGCTAAAGACCTCGACAGTTACCTCATCAAAGAAGATATACAGAAGGTGAATAAGCCTATGAAAAGATGCTCTATATCATATATCAGCAGGGAAATGCAAACCAAAATGAGATAGCACCACCCACCTACTAGAATGCCCAAAATTTAGAACACTGGCGACACCAAAGCAGAATGTGCTAGTGGAAATGCAAAATGATACGGCCATTTTGGAAGACTGTTCCATGGTTTCTTACAGAATTAAACACACTCTTATCCTATGATTCAGCAACTGCACACCTTGGTATCTACCCAAAGGAGATGAAAATTTATGTCTACACAAAAAAACCTACATGTGGATGTTTATAGCAGTTATATTTATAATTGTCAAAATTTGGAAGCAACCAAGATGGCCTTCAGTAGGTAAATGAATAAATAAACGATGGTACATCAAGACCACGGAATACTATTCAGTGCTAGACAGAAATGAGGTATGACATCATGAATAGATATGGAGGAATGATAAATGTATGTTACTGAGTGAAAGAAGGCAATCTGGAAGGCCACATAGTGTATGCAACTATATGACATTGTGGAAGAGGCAAATTTATGGAGACAGTGATGAGATCAGTAACTGTGTGTAGGGGGTGTGGTGAGGTGGGGTAGGGGGAGATGAATAGACAGAGAACAGAGGATGTTTAGGGTAGTGAATCTACTCTGCATGATTCTATAATGGTAGATACATGTCATTTTGCATTTGTCCAAACCTATAGAATGTACAACACCAAAGTGAACCCTAATGCAAACTGTGGTCTTTGGGTGAGTGTAGGCTCATCAGTTGTAACAAATGTACCACTCTGAAGGGGATGTTGACAATGGCAGAGGATGTGTGTGTATAAGGGCAAGAGGTATGTGGGAAATCTGCATACTTTCCTCTCAATTTTGCTGTGAACCTAAATCTGCTTTTAAAAAAAATGAAGTCTTTAAAAAAAGGCATTTTCTAGATTTTGTATCCTGCGTTTCTGTTTATTTTTAGTAATTCAAAATACGTTAGAAATCACAAACACTTTAAATGAATTGTATTAACTCCCTTGAATAATTTGGATAGGGAGAAAGAAGTCTCTTGTTCATCTAAATTGCGCTTAGTGAAAAAACAACCTAGTGGGATCAAGTCCCAGTTCTTGCCTTTAGAAGCTCATGCTCTGGGGTGGCAACATAGGAAAGTAAATACTATTAACACAATGTGATGCATGCTTGTAATATGCAACGCTACCAAAACGAAGGGAGCAGCTAACCCTTCCTACGGGATTGAGGAATGGATCATGTAGGAAGTGGCATTTTGGCTGGATTTTGGAGGATAACTAGCAGTTTTCTTGGGAAAGGGCATTCTAGGAAGAGGATGTGGAAAGAGAAGAGTGTGAGTAGAGTGATCAGGCCATGTGGCTAGCGTGTAGGGTGGGGACAGCCTAGAGAGCAGCTGGGCACCACATTGTTGAAAGCCAACCTTGCATGTCTGGGAGTTTGGACTTTATCCTAAATGACATCAAGTGGTATTTTATAGGAAGAAAGCAGCATGATCAGATTTATAATGTTGTAAGACAGTGTTACTGGTTATTCTGAAGACAGATTGTAGAAAGAGAGATGACTCTCCGTGAGGGATATTAGAGAGGCAGATAGACCAAGCAAAAAGTTAACACTGTAATCCAGGTGAAAGCGGTAGAATGAGGCCCTAAACTAAGACTGTGCCTTTAGGGATGGAAAAGAGGAAGAAAATTCAAGACATATTTGGAAAGTAGGATTGATAAAAATAGGACAAATCCAAAACTTGGGGGCTGATTGTCTGTGGGAGTGAGGAAGAGAGAATCAAGGATGATGGGAGTGTAATAGACATGGCAGATGGTGGTCCTGTCATTATGGAAACACGGCTCACAGGAGAAGGACCTAAGAGTGGATTTGGGGAGAGGAACAGGGATTTGGTTGTGGTAAAGTAATGACATCAATTTTGGACATTGAGTTTGAGGTTTCAGCTGGAAATCAGGTATGATGTTCATAAGAGTGATCTAGTCTGTAGATACAGGGTACCAGAGACTTACTTTTTTTATTTTTTTTATTTTTTTAGAAACAGGGTCTTGCTATGTTGCCCAGGCTGGTCTTGAACTCCTGGTCTCAAGTGATCCTCTGCTTCAGCTCACCCTGTTGGGATTACATGCATAAGCCATTGTGCCTGACTTGAGTGACTTATTTTTAATGAAGGAAACCATTTTTTTTTTCATCTGTGGTTAAATATATATCATGTAAAACTTACAATTTTCACCATTTTTAAATGTACAATTTAGTGTTATTAAGTACATTTGCACTGTTGTATAACCATCACCATTATCTATTTCCAGAGCTTTGTTTGTCATCCTAGACAGAAATTCTGTACCCGTTAAATAATAACTCTCTTTTCCTCCCTCCCCCCAAGCCCTTGGTAAGTTCTACTTTTTGTTTCTATGAATTTGACTATTCTAGGTACTTCATATAACTATAACTATATGATTATACAACAGTTGTCCTTTTGTGTATGAGTTATTTCACTTAGCATAATGTTTTCAAGGTTAATTCATGTTGTAGTAGCATGTATCAGCATTTCATTCTTTTTATGGCTAAATAGTATTCCAGTATATGGCTAGAACA